ACAGCGCTATGGATAAATGATAATGCTTCCATAAAAAATGTTTCCAAAAATGTGTAGGTATAAATTATAAAATAATATATTGCCTTGTTAAGAAAGGTGTATATATATATAAGTGAATAATATCCCAGTGAAAAAATCCCAAAAAACTTTGTATTAATCAAGTGACAAAAGGTGTATAGACCTAATTCATGTTGGTAAATCTAAGCATAAACTCCTACGTGGATACAATGCAACACAATAAGAAAAAGTTGTTGAAAATAATCAATAAAAATTTCATGAGTGAATAAAAGTGAAATTGCGACAAAGTGACAAAATATCAAAACCTCAAACCATTGAGTCAACTCGTTAGTAAATGAAAATTGCGAATCAAAAATATAGGAATAGAACTGTTCCGATATGAAATAGTGAGATACAAATAAGGTGCAAATATTTCCTCCAAAATCCCAATTCGTGATGTAATTTAACAGATGACAAATAATTGCAAAATGAGAGACTAATTTAGATATAAGGTAAAAGTGAATCTGGTAGCCAAGTGATGGATAAATCAAAAGGTAATCGATAAGACAAACTAAATAAATAAAAAACTCATTTAAATCCGATCCCCCAAGCAAACGAAAAACAAATATAAAGTTCTTTTAAATTCGATCCTCCAATCAGCCGTCCCCCCAGGTAATCGGTACTCACCAGAGTCGGTGAGTATATATAGTATAATCACTCAGGAGCGAAAGACTTCTAATCTCCCCGTTCTGATTCCCTCAGAAACACCCGACAGCAGACCGAGCACTTTCAAGCGCTTATCCCTTGCAGTCTACGTGGAGGTCCCGGCTCTCTGTTGAAAGCAGGTGCCAGCTCCTCTCATCCGGGGGCAACAGCGGTAATGTATGGTCCTGATCAGTGTTTTATTAGGGTTACGGGAGAGAAAAAACAACCCTCATGGTGCGGTACATCCAACAATGAATATTTATTAAAAAGTAGCAACTTACATCAAAGTTTCAAAGCATCGGCCGGCCAAATAAAAAAACAGGATAAAAAGCTTTCACATGAAAGCCACTAGCAAAGTGTCTACTAAACAGTGAAAAGATCTGGCCCTTGACGCGTTTCGTCACCTGATACACACACCTTGAGGAGGTATTTAGTCCCCCAATCTGGTGGATATATATACACCTTTCTTAACAAGGCAATATATTATTTTATAATTGATACCTACACATTTTTGGAAACATTTTTTATGGAAGCATTATAATTTATACATAGCGCTGTGCTATTACTTGCACATGGTTCCCATACCGACTCAAACTGGAGTTGCCTATCTTGAAGAACGCTATACCATTTTTCATGGACCATTATCCAGTTGAGTTTGGAATTGACATAGGAGAAAGGAATTGTCGATGTATTCCAGGTTCGAGCAATAGAAATTTTGGCCGCTAAGAAAAAAAAAAAGGATGGGAGTTTACCTTGCGTTTCCAGAGACTTTCGGGATTGGTTTATTCAATAACTCATATTGTGGGTCTCTTGGGACTCGAATATGTAGGACTCTACATAAAAATCTATGCCAGAAGGGCCGCAATTTAGGACATTGCCACAAAATATGGATCATGGTTCCCTGGTGTTCACATCCACGAAAGCATAGAGGGCTGGTCCTTGGAGACGTCATGTGTGTTCTTCCATGAATATTGGTGAGCTTTGTGTATTTCTTCCGGATCTGTGCAATAATCCAGTGTGAGACTTGAAGCTTTGTGTAATTTCGGTCATTAAAATGTCACTAGTCAGGAATAGAATTCACAGAGAAAACCACCTAAGGCCTTGTTCACACATTGAGCTGCATTTTTCGGCACATTAATGCACATTGTATGTGCCCTGTTCCCACCACAAATGTGCCAAAAACTCAATGGACATCGGGTGAAAAAGCCTGGACAACATCAGCTAACATCCAGCTCAGTGTCGTATTATGCTTCTGGACTGGAGCTGCTGCTGAAATACCAAGTTCAAAAGTAACGGCACACTGCGGACACATTGCTTTTGACACTAGCAGACTGACTACTAGCCTGAGAAGTGTGCTAGGGGGCTCTGTGATAGGAAAGATGGCATCATGGCCATCTGAACTCAGAAGCCTACAATGCAAGATGAATGCAGGTTGGGTCCTCTGCTGAGGAATGGACGGGACCAGGGACTGCTCTAAGTGGAGATGCTGGAATTGCATTTATAATAGGTTTTCTTGTAGTGCTGTCACAGCCACTGTTATTTTTTGCTATTGCCATTACACTGCCATGTATTGCATTGCATGTTATTTTGTTGTGGCATATATCTGACATCTTGTGGTAGATTAGGGCTTCTACAGCTGCGTGTACATTTGGTATCTTCCTCTGTTCTCTCCTCCTGTTTAGAGCCACTTGATATAGTCTTATATGGACCCTCACTTCTTCTACCATGTTCCCTCAGTTTATCGATAGCCTTCCTTACACACACTAGGCTGAGGAGATTTTTCTCTTTTACAGTTCAGATGAACCAGCAAACTTCTGCATTGGATTAAGCTTTGGTGTCTGATTGGAGAGTTAAGCAGTCTCTGGGTTGCGTTGATTCAGCTGGTGACCATACTGCCCGGAAAGATCGAGGTCCAATGGAGGCATGTCAAAGCACAAATCAGCTCTTGAAACAGAACACTTAGGGGTTATTCACAAAAGGGTGAAGAGTTTGGAGAAGGCAGGAGAAGTAAACAATCTAGGACAACCTAAATGAACTGTAAAGTGAGCTTCAGGTATGTTGTCCTAGATTGTTCACTTCTTCTTTCTCCAAGCTCTTCACCCTTCTGTGAATAACCCACCTAATCTGTGCAATTCAATATTAAGAAGTACCCCCTGACATCTTATCATGAAATTGAGAGTCCATAGTGCTGACGGATCTTTGATGTCAGGTCATGGGATCAGGCCTGAGCCCTATAGGAAGTGGAGGAATGGGCTTTAAGTGCAGTAACCTAAAGAGACCAATCAGGATAATTTCTACTAAAAGTTTAACTGCTACCACTTGAATTCTGATTGGCTTTTATGTGTTACTGTACTATATGAGGTGATCATATGTACTGCCAATGCATGACAAAGCAAAAGGGTTCACTTTAATGCAGGCCCTGCCCATATTTGACCTGGATCAAGGAGAACCTTCACAGACAGGGTATATATGTAAAAAAATAAGTCAAGGCAACTGGACTTGCTGTATTTTTCTTGAAGACGTGTCACTGGTCATCCAACCAATTTCTCAATTCAGTATGGCTTGTACCGAAAAATTATCTGGGAATAAATATGATGAATGTAACTCCAATCCACATAATCTGTTAGTCACAACCAGGTGTTGGTTGAATTTGCATAATTGGAGTCTAGGAGGTGTTATTAAACTGCATTGCATGTGGCAGACAATAAATGTCCGTCCCCACCCACCTTCCAACCCCAATTCAAGCTTGGCTTCTCCATCTTTACATACATGGCCTCTTTCACACCTCTCTGTGGGCAGGTTAATAACACCTCCTAGACTCCAATTACGTAAATGCAATCAACACCTGGTTGTGACTAACCGATTATGTGGATTGGAGCAACATTCACCATATTTATCCCCAGATAATTTTTTGTACAATTCATTCTGAATTGAGAAAGCTGGTTCTCAAATCCACCTGCACTCCGTGCAGCGTATCTCCAACCAAAATCACAATAATGGTGCTTGCAGTGATACTCACGGATGGCGCCGTGCACATCTAACAGCAAATTAATAGGATTCACCAGCACACAAAAGATAAAGTCGGACAGATCGTCATACATGTTGCAATAATTAAAACCGACGTTTCGGGGGCCACGTAGGGACCCTTCATCAGGGCAACAATGTAACACCGTGTTACATTGTTGCCCTGATGAAGGGTCCCTACGTGGCTGCCCATACTTGGCTTTCCCAGTGGCTCCATTCAGCCAGATGTTGGAGATTACACAGGTCTCCCAAGTGACAGTGATGGCTGTTTGAGCAGACAGTTACCAAGTATTCTCAACAGTGATTAAGGGAAGTGGGTCACATGATCACCAATACTTACAAGTAATGGGTATTTTCTTCACTTCTGGCAGCCAAACAGAGCAGCAGAAGAATGAAGGAAGGGTAAGGTCAAACATTTTTAGCTTCTCTTTAACTTTTATTTATTTTTATAATTATTTTCTTATTTTTTTCATAATTTTTTACTTTTTATTCACCTTTTTATTTAATTATTATTTCTTAGTTTTTTTTATAATTTATTTTTTTTCACTTAACTTTATTGCTATCACACAGGAGCTAGCTAACAAGCCCCTGTGTGATAGCCTTTGGAGGTGACAGGTTCTCTTTATTGACCCTTGTCACCTCCAATACAGGGGCTCTAGCACAGCACTGTGCTGGAACTCCTGTGACAGCTGAGATGAGAAGAGCACAGCTCTCCCCTCTCACTGTATACACGGGGCGGCAGGGTTAGTTTTAACACTGCCGCTCTGCTCCCTGCATTGGCGGCCAGTGAGGAGAGACTTGGCGTAGGAGGTAACTTACCGCCCGGCACTTTATGTTCCGGGCGTCGGGGGATTCCACACTGCTGCCTCCCCTCTGCGCCCCGAGGCCTGGCCTCCTTGGCCTTGTGGGGAATCCGGGCCTGACCATTATATGAACTTACTGCACAGGATCACTTTAACAATTATTATTCTTTATTAAGTATGTAAAAGTCCTTTTATCTGCTAAGACCCATGGGTAAGATTTATTGAACAATCCTGGTAATGTCAACACATCTGAAAGAGAAAATGGCTCCAACAGTCGGGTTGCTCGAGCATCAACTGGACAAATAAGTAAATCATCAATGTGAAGGGTAAGATGAAATAATCAGAGGCCTGTGTTAAATCTTTATAGCGGTATGTGTACGTTCAATTCGCTACACTACTCACTGGCCAATATAAACACACACAGGATTGTCTTTCATTTCTTTAGTAGATTGGAATTTTTATTTTGTAATAAACAATTTTTCATAATTTATTCCGCCGTGAGCATGGTATATTTTTACGCAGAAAATCCTGTATTACCTTCCAGCTGTGTTCCTGGGCTCTGCAATGTGGCAGAAGCTCCCCTCCCCAGGTCAGTGGAAGTGGGAAGAATGGAGATTGGGACACAGGGCAAAAGGGGGAACCGGGGGGCTCAAGAAGGTGGCCAACTTTGGGGTAACTCTTTAAATACACATCCTTCTTCCTGTATTTGCGTGCTCTGGCTAACGCTTGCTTGGCAAAAAATAGGCTGTCATAATTCTGGTCATCTTCACCCACCAAGAAGAGAATAGGACCCCGGGCCCTCTCCACTGGATATATGGAATCCTGGTGTTCAGGCTTTCTCGGATCGTCCATTGTGCGGGAGATGTTGAGGGTCCCCCTGTCTGTAAACAGCAGTCTCTCTGTTTGATAGGGAATTCCAGGAATAAAGAGGTCACCGTAGCTGAGAGTGTTGCCATTGACGGCATTGGTTCCATTGATACAGACAGTAGCAGCTACCTGGGGCAAATAGGTTGCCATTGCCAAGCCCATCTCTGCCCCTTTGCATATAGCGAGGACTCCAACTCCTTCTCCAGAAACCTACGGCAAAAACATAGGTACATAAAGAAATGGAAGACAATAAGTATATAACAGGCTCAGTTTAAGAAGTTGCAAGCGCCCTTAACTTGCAACACTGGAGTCTTGGGTTAAACCCTTTGCTACCAATATGTCTGTGAAGGTTCTCGATCATCCAGGTCATGGAACATTATAGATCAAGGCAACTGAACTTGCCATATTTTACCTGATGATGTTTCGCTGGTCATCCAACCAGCTTTCTCAATTCTGAATCGAGAAAGCTAAAATCGGGTGACCAGCAAAACGTCTTCAAGAAAAATACAGCAACTCCAGTTGCCTTGATCTATTTTTTTACAGACCTTTGCCACCAACTTCCGGCAGCCCTTAACACAAGGAGTTGGAGGTGGGTTTCCCAATCACGTGATCCCCGATCCTTACTAATAATGGGGAATTAATCGAGGATATTGTAATTGGGGAGACACTGGGTAGTAGTGATCACAATGTGATTACTTTCAATATTAAATACAGGAAAGGAAAGAGGGCGGGACGGACAAGAACCCTTAATTTCAGAAGGGCAAACTTCGATAAGTTGCGCAAACTAGTGGGGGAAATAAAATGGGATAACTCATTTCACAACCTAAACTCAGACCAAATGTGGGACTGCTTCAGGAACACATTACATATTGCCATTTCAAAGTGTATACCATTGGGTAACAAAAACAAAAGATCAAAGACTAAACCGATATGGCTAAATAAAACTGTAAAACTACATGTTAAGGCAAAGAGAATGGCATTTATAAAATATAAGATGGAAGAGGCGGCATTGGCATTCCTTAAATACAAGGAGTGTAACAAAAAATGCAAACTAGTAATCCGGGAAGCTAAAATAGAATGCAAAAAGCATATCGCCGCAGATAGTAAAAATGGCCCAATAAAGGATGAAAACGGGAAGTTACTCACAAGTGACAAGGAGAGGGCCGAGGCGCTGAACAATTTTTTCTCTTCAGTATACACTCAGGAGGGAAACGGGTTCGACGTACGTGAAAGGACCATAATATCCAGGGATACAAGTATCCCTAAGGATGATATGATGCGTGGACCTATATGGATTGGACTTGATGGACGTATGTCTTTATTCAACCCCAAATACTATGCAACTATGTAACTGTGATTCGCTGTTATAAGTGGTCACATGGTTGGGAGGCCATCCCACGGCTCCCAAATCATAAACGGTAGCCAGGAGCTGTTGGTGACAGCTCAGTCATTGTGCTGGAAGCACACAAGTGAGCACGCTGTCAGCAAACGAGCAGCAAACAAGCTGATGCATAAATGCAAACAGCCGGCGTTAAGGCTCAACCACCGGCCACACATGCACATTATGGGGGGGAGGGGATTATCCTTTAATGTCACTTTAAGCCCCTCCCCGATCCTTACCAGTTCAGCCAGCCACACCCCGTTTTAATTCAATCCACTTCCATTTTTTAAGCTCCTCCCCTTCATAAAATGCAAATGCAGAGACAGTAAGGAATCATGCAAGTGTCCTCATCCCTAAAACTTACTTTCGGGTGGTTACACAGAAACTGTGCCGCCTCTTCGAAGTATTTTAGATCCATGGCCCCCAGAAAGCTTGGCAGGTCTTCATAAGCAAAATAGGCCAAAGCAAGAGAAGCAAAGCCGCGGCTGGCCAGGAGGCCACTTCTGAACTCCAGGACACCTCCGACACCACCGAACATGTCAATGACTCCGGGGAAAGGACCTTCTCCTGCAAAATAAGGGGACATGTCTCAATACATCTGTTTTCTAAATAATTCCAAGAACATGAGGTTTATTCTACTTATTTTTTACTTTCTCTGGCTCCTCCCTCCGTCCTTTTCAATACTCATAAAATTTTTAAATAGATCCTTTCTATTTTCATATCTTATCTTAGACCCAGTGATGCAATTTTACTTCTACATGCAATGTAGGCAGTTCATGGTTGGTGGGAAGGGCCAAGCTATACATAGCTTCCTGAAACATCACAGCACCCTGCCTCAGTACCTCTTTCAAGAGCCCTCAGTCCTGATGCAAGCAGTGGGCTGGCTCTTGGGAGGAATTATGCAAATATCAGAATGACTTTATGTTCTGGGGTCAGTCTGGATGAGTGGGCATTCTTAAGCAAGTTGCATTTGCATGCAGACCACCGTGGGTAATGCCCACAGGTACTTCTGACCCTCCATAATTGAAAGACCTAAAATCTAATGAATGAAAGGGAAAATGAAGGGGGGGTGGCAGGGATAGTAAGACTGGGGAGAAAAGTCCTGGATGATGCTGGATGACTCTCTCTGACTCACTGCAGCTTGTAATGCACATTACAAATGCTTTTCCCTGCATGTGAAGTACTACATGTCTGAGCATGCTAAAAATACATTTAAAAAGGGCAATGATGTCACTGGTGGAAAATAAGCCCCCCTTACTATAAGGATACCATTAGTCCCCGTTTCCTTTTTCAAATGACACAGGAGTCATATAGGGGTAGGTGGATGGAACTACAAGGTGCAATGGGGGACCAGGCATCACATACCCCAAGATGTGTGTGGTGTCTAGCTCCCCAACAGGGCAAAGGTCCCTGGCCAACGCAGCAGGTCAGCAATCATTCTTTTTAGTAGCCAATTTTCTTTTAATAATGACAAAGTTGGTTTCATTATTGATCACTATGCCTTGCAATACCAGGGATGGTGGTAAGCAGTTGCAAAGCTCCCCCATGTGGCCACTTCTGAGCACTGCAGAGAAGTGGGATCCTATTTTTCTCTGGACACTCACATTCATACTGTTACTGTGACACATCAATGAAATGCACACACAGATTTCAGACGCAGCAAACCCAGATGCAGGAAACCCATTTTTTGGGCACAAAATAGATTAAAAAAAAAAAAATTACACAGGAATTTGTAGTGACCAGTAGAAAAAACAAAACTATTGTGTGCAAGTATGTAGCATATCATAGTGTAAGAGTTCTAAATATGATTCACAAAAAACGTTCCCCCAAAAATTGGAAATCCCTTCTAAGAAGATTGGTTCAAAACAAGTAAATCAAAATTATTAATACAATATTTAATAGTAGAAAAAGACATATACAATAAACTCATGCACCAGAGACATTTAAAAACACTTAAAACATTCCACTGGATATATCCTGCATAAATATAACAATGGTTGCCTGCAAACCACCTGTGTGGTAAAGGGGCATCTATGCAGGTTTCTGGATGATTAAAGTACTTTTCAAGAGAAACAATGTATCTGAGAATGTACTCACATATGTTGCAGTTCAAAGAGCTCGAGGGAAAATGAACCTGCTAGAGTCCTGTGTGTAAAGATGGAAGAAAGACTTCGGGAGAGGTGTCCATTATAAGACGATATTACTGTCAAAGAATGTAGCTCCTCAGTAAAAGCAGGAGCTGTGGATGCACCTCTCCCAGCACTTTCCAAAGGCACAAGATACTCCGTGGGTTTCAGTGAATGAAATGGAAGCTTCTTCAAAGATTTGTAATCTTTTGTGTGCGGCCGCACTGTGCAGAAAGAGAGAAGGACTACTTGACACTCCACGGTAAGATGCGCCTGGCAAGATTGGAGCCGGGAATTAACCGTAAGGCGCGGGAAGCCACCCGCTAACTTTCAGAGCAAATAAATGATTTTAGTAGCCATCCAATCGAAACCTTATCACAGTCAGTTGTGCTCCGTCACCTCTATTTCACAAGCCGGCAGGTAGTAGGCAGGATGTTCGTTCCTAACTGGACTTGTATAGGGGATGAGCAAACAAATGTGAGTATCTCATATGTCCAGAGAATCCAGGGAAGCTTTCCACACGTAACCCTTCATTCTAAATATGAATTGCTTAAAGCCCAACTCCGAGATCATTTTCTTTTTTTTTAAACTTGTGCCCTAGCTTGATTACAAATAAAAAAAGCAGCTCTAGGTGCAATCCTAACCTCCGCTCTGCGGCTGTCCCCCACAGTTATTCTTTTTCACCACAATATGGCCAATATGGTCTTGCTTGTTTGACCCTCCCCAGTGTTTAACCCTCTCCATTAACAGTGTGATGATGAATAGATCATTATTGATTGTACAGTCTCACTGAGGGTCAGTCTCTGCATCATTGAGGACCACCCAGCATTGGAGAAGAGGCAAATAGGAAGAAGACCCCTCTAGTCATGTGACCGGCCTGAAGACATCTAGAAAAGGGAAGTATTAAAAAACAATGCATGCCTTCAAGGTAAGATTGGGGAAGGTGGCAGGCAGATGCCAGAGTTGGGCTTTTTGAGGTCTTGCTATGCCTACACTGCTATGTCTACATTATGCAATAGTGATAGTCCTGCTTCACTGCCAGTCTGCATCAAAAGATCAATGCTAGATCCCTATAATTTGCTTTGAAAAAATGATTTAGCTCTGTTTTGGGTAAATCTAATCTGCAAGAAAAAATACCTGACATGTCACAAGATACAGTAATGGCATCACCTTCCCCAAAAATGTACTTCAACAGTCTTTTTTCTGCCACTATGTAACTGTTAAGACAGCGCTATAGGTGTTTATGTAAACCAAATACTGAATAGCTTTATGCTTTAAATGTTATTTATTAAACACTGAATAGGTCTCTTTGAAGACCCTTCAGTGGTTTAAACACATTTTCTCACACTGTGTTAAAGGAGAACTATGGGGTCAGGGCTTTTCCCCATAGTTCTCCTTAGGGTAACGGGAGGACACAAACTAGTGCCCTCACGTCACCCTAGGCTCAGTATACCTATAGCTGTAGCTCGTGGTATACTGAGACGCCGCAGTATACTGCAAGCTGCTGCTCGCAGTATACTGAGACGCCGCAGCTGAAGCAGATCCCGACAATTGTGCCGGGATCCGCCCAGCTGCATGAGTGACAGCTGGCTCTGCCTATCTAGGAGGCAGAGCCAGCTGTACCCGCCCCCTCCCCCGTCCATTCCACCAGTCAGCGCTGGAGGATCGGAGCGGGGAGGGGGGAATCCAGCCCCTCCCCTGTCACGGCAGAGAGCCGTGACAGGATCGAGAGGGGAGCAAATGCCGTTATGTGTTCGCTCACCTCCCGATCAACTGAGCCGACCTGTGACAGTCTCATTGGTCACAGGTCGGCTAGAACTATGAGGTGAGTGAAAAGCACTCATCTCATAGTTCTCCTTTAACACTTACAAATCACATATATTTTTCTCATAGCAGCTTTAGGACCACCATCTAATTTATTAACAATTTTTGCAGTCTTCCAAGAGCGCAGATCTTTGTTACCACTATGTAACTGTACCTAGGCCTTAGAGGGGTGTCACGGGAGACTTTCTGGCAGCAATATGGGTTTTGCTATATGGTACAACACACGTATACACAGTTAAGAACATAAAGGCTACTTTAAAGGCACTGGAATTCACATAAATGTGCAATCTCTGGGCTAGCATCTCTGTACAAAAAGATGATGCCATGACAAAAATAGTGTTGGCCTTCTGGGGATAAAGGAAGATGAAGGAATTGGTACCGATCTGAAACAATCACTTGGTAAAATTCTACACTCTTAAATGTTTTTGTTCTGTTCTTAGAAAACAGCTGATAATAGACTTGGCAGTTTGCTCACCTGGTGGAAGGAAGAGAACACCTCGGATTCGTCCTTCTCTGATTTGCACTCTCTGGACATGAGGACTGGTGTACCACCTTTCTACAATTTTACTGATGATTGGAGGTTCTTTTGGTGATGAAGTGATTTCAATCTGATGGTAGAGCTCCAGGTGAACATAGAAAGGACTTCCCTTCACGTCACGTTTTAACAACCTTAAAAATGGAGTAACTGGCTTCAGAGTCCAGAAGAGTCCCATTGGATGAACGCCATGGAAGTCTCCACCAGTGGCCGGTGTATGTTCTAGATCCACCTTCCCATCATCGTCAGTTTTATAGAAGGCTCGGGATTGAAAAATTTGCCCCTTCTCATCTTTCAGCCATGCTCTCAGTGTAATCAGCTCCTGTGGTGGGAGACCCCAAGCTTGGATTTTCACTGACTCATCTGCAAGGGCCACCTCTGGTGAGACTGTGAGGCCAATCATGGCGGAAGTTCTCTAGAAGAATAAAACCAAAACTTTAATAAGAGGTGGGCCTTGTTAGTGAGGAAGGCTCTGGGTTACCAAATACAGTATGATGGCTTGTGTTCCCCATTGTATATATTTATTGTTGACACATCTTGCATCAAAGTAATTATTCCGGATGCATGACAGTCTACTCGGCCTTAATGTAACACTAAACTCAGGGGTTATATTTAAAAAAAATACATCCAAGCACATTAATTATTAACCAAAATGTCTCTTATTTGTGTATCACTCGGCTGTAGATCCTCCAATCATCTTTGAATTGGTGCCGACACTGTCCTTCCTTCTGGAGGGGGGCTACTTTTGTTCCCCATGGTGCCTGTGTGTGTTGTAAACTACTCATCGTTCCGAACTCGCTCCTGTGATGGACTACAATCTCATGTTTAGTTTACTCATTTGAATTGAAGTTATAGTCCATGATGGCAGTGAGCTTGGAGCGGTGACTTCTACTGGGTCGTGGGCAGGCCCTCACTGTCCTTATGAACAATGCAGGGCTATTGGTCCTGTATTGTACTCAATGACATCAGTGTGCAACTGCCATTATAGCATCATAGGGAAATGGCTTCAGGGACCGATCACACAGATAGAAGGAACCTGCTGGAGCAAGGTAAGTAATACACAGTACTGAAAAAACCAGGGATGCACCGATATATCGGTTGCCGAAACATATCGGCCGAAAATGGCACTTTTGGCATAATGCCGAAAGAGCCATGTTTCGGCCGATACATCGGCGCATCCCTGGTTTCTTTTCGCTGGCCGCTGGAACAGCGGCCAGCGGGGAGAAAAGAAAGTGACAGCCGGCCGAGTGCTGCGGTGGAGAGCGCTGTGAGCGGCCGGCGTCTCTCCTCCCACACCGCTCAGCCGCCTATCACAGTCCGGCAGAGCGGTGTGTGGGCGGAGACAGCGCTGTCACAGGAGGCTGAGCTCTCCTCCCTACACCGCTCGCTCAGCCTCCTGTGACATCGTGTCAGAGAGAAAAGCAAGGTACACACACTCAGGGATCAGTGATCGCTGAGTGTTTGTAGATAATTGAGAATATGGTATGTTAACTATATCCTCAATTATGAATGAATGGGAGTGATCTACATCACCCCCATTCATTCATAATTGTAGTTATAGTAAACAATGTTCTCATGTTATCAATGAATGGGAACACTCATAGAGGATTTCGGTGCACCTCTAGAAAAAAAACAATACCGGCGCCTCTGGTTGCAAGATGGGCTGGTTGTGACGTTGGCTTAAACACTCAAAAGGCAGCTCTCACTGGTCAAAAAGACCATCAATCTAGGAAACAAGGGACAAGACAGAGCGCCTCCATAGTGTAAAAGTGTAATTTATTTGTGCAACACGCAAGTATAAATGTACTTACAGGAAAGTCGGTGGTTAAAAGCATACAAATGGTGATGAAGTATAAAATCTCTAGCAGCGGAAGTCTGAAGGAGTACAGCACATCAGCGTCCTCTGCCCCCTTGAGTTCTAAAGGTTCTAAAGGAGGTTCTGATGAAGGGGGCGTGCCCCTGAAACGCGTAGACCTTTAGAACTCAAGGGGGCAGAGGACGCTGATGTGCTGTACTCCTTCAGACTTCCGCTGCTAGAGATTTTATACTTCATCACCATTTGTATGCTTTTAACCACCGACTTTCCTGTAAGTACATTTTTACTTGCGTGTTGCACAAATAAATTACACTTTTACACTATGGAGGCGCTCTGTCGTGTCCCTTGAATACACAGTACTGTATTACTCTACACCTAGACTCAACGTGAAATTCTTGGAATTCAGCTTTAAATGTTGCCATGTGTCAGTAATTTGCCCACCCGCCCTCACCCTTGGATTGGCAGGAAGGTATTTGAGCAGTGTTTTATTACAGGATAACCAGCTATGATTAAGGCCGTTTAGGCTGAAACACGTTAGCAGCGGTTACTTTGTAGATGTTCTGCAAGATGTATCAACAATAAAGTATTATCGGAGGAGACACTATGTGTATGTATCAGTATCAGCCTAATAATCATGGTAACAAAGAAAGGGATTAGCACTATGCATAGCAGAAGTGAAGTGTGGGACTAGATGGTAGGTGGAGCGGTCAGGGCAGCAGAAATCACTTGTAAAATGTGTGCTGCCGTCCGTCCTCCCCCCGCCCCCCCACCTACCTCTCTCTGCTGGCTCTGTCTTCGGGACTCCGTCCTCCCCCTGGCCGCCGAGTCTGTCTCCTGTCCCTGCCGCCGATATACCCAGTGAGAGGGGAGGGCTGTGCTCTTCCCATGTCAGCTGTGACAGGAGTTCTAGCACAGTGCTGTGCTAGAACTCCTGTTTTGGAGGTGACAGGGTCAATAAAGAGAAACTGTCACCTCCAATTGCTATCATACAGGGGATTGTTTTCTCCTGTGTGATAGCAATAAAGTTAAGTGAAAAAAATTGATAAACAAAAATAATAAGAAATAATAATTAAATAGGGAGGTTCGGTTGGCGGGGAGGGGGCGCATTGTGGAACCTGGCCCTGGGGGCGGCAGGGAGAGCAAATCCGGCCCTGTTTGCAGGACCCCGGGGATTTCATTCAAATCTCAGGATAGTCCCCCGGAAACTGGGACTGTTGGGAGGTATGGACTCAGCTGACAATAACTGGCACTTTTATATAAGTATAATAAGCTTCTAGACAAGCGGGCACATGGGTCTCTTACCAGGTCACCGGAGTTGAGAGGGGGGCCACACTGTCCTCTGGGCTGTCAGATTTTCTTCCAGATTAGACCAGATGAATCAGATCAATAATATTTACTATAACTGGGAGTGATTTATGAAAGGATTACATCAAGTTCATTTTGCAACGTCGTGAATAAGGAGAAGCTATGCTGAAAAAATCATGTTTCATTTCTGCGCAGACAATTTTTGCTTAGTCTACCCTTATTTACTAAGCCAAGTGAAAATACACTATGCAAAGTGAACATGCTCTACTCTTCTAGTACATCATCACAGAGTGGCCGTCCTAGAAAATCCATTCAGCAAACTGGTCTGGGCAGGGTAGCCAAGACTGCACAGACATGTCCACTGGCTGTCTCCAGGGCCAGTGCAAGGATTTTTGCCTACACAGGCGAAGGTGCATTTTTGCGCCCTCAGATGGCTGCCTATGCAATGCACTTGTAGTCCATTAACGCTGCCTCCCATCCATATTACCACATGTCTGTACCTCGGTACGGGCATGGACGGGAGTAAGGATGCACCTATACCATATTTTCCAGACTGAGTACAAGTACCGATACTTTTCCTCAAGTACTCACCAATACCAATTACAGATACTTTTTTTTTTTTTTAAGTGTCATGGCATACCTGAACAAGGAGGAGTTAGGTAAGTATTGGAAGGAAGGGTGTTTTGTCGGTTGGGGTTTGAAAAGGGGGGAGGGAGGGACAGCTAGCATAGTGATAGGTGGGCTTAGCTTGGGGGGTGGAGTTAGGGGGCCATCTTACTGTACAGTGTGAGGTAGGGAACCATTTTAGGTGGGAGAGAAAAGAAATCAGTCCCACCCACCCTCCCTGTTAGTTTTTTGACATGTTGTTTTTGTTTTGGTTTGTTTTTTATGTTTTATAAAAGTTTAGTTTCCGCAAGTGTGGAACTTGGGGAGGAGGGATACAATTTTTCTAGTTAGGGTAACGGGTATTTCTGTTCTGGGTTTAAGGTGGAGTTTGTGTTTTGGGAAATATGTCTGATTTAATTTTCTTCTAGGTTGGTCCTCCATTGGGCGGGTCCCTGGCGGTGCCATATATCGACGACAAAGAAATGGCTCTCCGCAAAGTGGAAAGGGAAGTGCCAATGGTGGGGCTACTGGGCTCTATAGCTTGGTAGCCAGTAAGAACTTGAGGCCAGGATATGGGGGGCCAGTGGCTGGTACAGTAAACAATGGGTCATGGTACACTCCCCGTAAGCGGTGAGTGGTGTTTTTTGGCACTTGTCAGGGACCGAAGCATTTTGTTCTGGCTACATAATATGTTCTGCTATTTATGTTAAAATGTTTACATCGCTCTGGCCATTCAACTTTCCAATAAAATGTTATTACTTTACGTTTTTGTTGAAATTACTGTGTTCAGTATGTTATTTAGGTGGGAAGTGAGGGTTACTCGGCCTTGCAGTCAGTCAAGTTGGGAGACATGTTCCACAGAGGTTAGTAAATGACGTAACCCCGATCGACAAAATAAGACGGTGTGTGGCCAGCATTATAGAACGTCTATGTGTTCAGAGAATTTGGTTGGAGCAGCATCTGTGTAAACATGCCTAAAGTCATCTTCTTGGATTTGGGGGCACCCTGGCATCAGGGCCAGATTTTCTCTCTCTCTGCTGCCCCAAGGCCAGGTTCCTCAATGCGCCCCCCCTATCCACAAAACCTCCCCATGAAGAATAGCAAACCTGCAGGCTGCATACAAGTGATCTCGGTGACATCGCCGGCTTCCCCGCTGTACATTTAGCTCTGCTTGCCCAAAGCAGGGGTAAATGTAGAAAACACCCGCCCGGCACTGCATGTCCCAGGCATCGGGAGATAGGAATTCCACACCCCTGCTGCACCTCTACTCCCTGCTGCCCCAAGGCCGGGCCTTGGTTGGCCTTGTGGGAAATCCGGCCCTGCCTGGCAACCCAGGGGAGCTATACATGTGAATGGGAACTGTAACGTCAGTTCCCACAGATTCTGCAGTCTGCTTTAGTTAAAAGCATGCCATTGTGTGGTAAATACTGTGTGTGGTGGTGATACTTCACTAGACTATTGAGGGCATTGTGCCATTTATTCCAATGAATGCACCACAGGCCCCATTTGACCCCTATGTGTACTGGTCTACAAAAGAGCTAAACCAAGATCTGGATTCACATTGTTCCTTGTGCAGAGAGCATGGTAATGGACACGTGTAGGTTTGAATGCTCCCATATAGTTTCCCTTTCCCTTTAACATTAAATAGCATGACAAAGATGTGAACTTGCAATGCAAGTCTACTGCAATTTCTTCATGCAGCAAAATGCAAGGGATTTGCTA